CGTTAAATTAAAAGAGATTGCTATTGATATTAGCTTTTTGATGGCTTTGAATGAAGAAAATGTTTGATTTCGTTTCACTGATGTAAAGTTGATGAGCCTTATTTCAATATTCATTACCGCCTTTTTTGAGAAAATAAATGTTTGTTGTAGTTATGGAATGATAGCAAACTCAACATTAATGATATTTCATATTTCCGTTAAAAATAAATAGATAAAAGAAAATTAAATTTGACTTATACTCAGTCGTTCTTTTATAAAGCAATTTTTTTAAAACAAAACGATGTAGCTTAACGTGATATATATTCAGACACTTCAGTACTATATAGTATTTACTATATTATGGACCATCTTTAATTAACTGTAACCCTTTAAAAGTTTTATTTGAGTAAACATTTTTATTATCTGTTTTTATATATGCTTTGAATATAATTATTCTCAAAGATAAATTTAATTTTAATTTTGTTGTTATGGCTGTAGTGTTGAATTCCTTGGTAACCAATTCCTTCTTCTCCAATTCCCAATTCTTCAATCTCCAATTCCTATTGGGTATCTTAATATACGACCGCAAAGGGTTAAAAAATGCAAACCATGGCTTTATGCATAAAAAAAGATAATCATTTTACAACTAGATCAGCAGTAAAGTTAGTTGAGTTAAAATGCAATAAGAGCATTTTTTTATTATTATTAATAGTATTGATTTAACACTATCCTATTTTTAAGTTCCATTTAGACAAAATGACGTAGTATTTCTTAATTTCATTTAATAAAAAGTCGAAGATCGAAAAGTCTTAAATATATTGTAAGCATTCTTAATACAGTGAGCTTAGAAAGTAATACCTAAACATCGCCATGAGCTATACGTTTTTACTTTTTACATCCAAAACAAATGAGCTATATATTTTCTTAAATGCAATTTTTGGTATAATATAAAAGTGAAACGTTTTACTTAAAAAACAATCTTAAATATATATATTAAGTATTCTTAATCAATCAGCTTCTAAAGCAATATCCAAAAATCATCACAAGTTTCAAGTTTTTACAACTTAAAACATAAAATAGCTTCTTTAAAACGCAATTTTAAGCCATCGCGGCATCTATGAAGGAGAGGTTTAAAATCAGCTATTGTTTTATTCATTTTCAAGAATCAACTGATCTGTCACCTACCCCCCAAAACAAAAGCCCATCGTTCCCCTTCCAGTTGTTCACTAATCCACCCACACAACAATCACCTGACATGAAGGGGGGGGAGAGGACGAAAAGCAGATCGGTCGTATGATTAATGAGCTTTTGTACTGAGTTTTCGGGTGTCGTCAGAATTATGGGGAACACTCAGTGATCCTTGCCATAACTGTTTGGTTGCGCAACTGTCATGTCAATGAGAGCTGCAAGCATCCGTCGATGTCAAGACATCTTTTGTCGAAACCGGATGGACCTTTCATCGAATTTACTGCTCTGTAGCTTTCCTGATTAGTATGGACATTGTCGCCAAACTTTGGCATAAAATATTATTTGTTTTGGAAGATACAATGTTTTAGAAGTATTAAAATGGCAACCTAAATCATTCTTCAAAATAATCAAGGCAAGCTTTAAAATGTAAAATAAAATCCTTGTAAAAATATTTCGAATTTAATACGAATTTTTAAATTGAGATTTATATCAGTATAAAACAAATTCATAGAAATTCTTCCTGAAAATCGTCGCCAAACTTTGGCATAAAATTTTATTTGTTTTGGAAGATACAATGTTTCAGAAATATTAAAATGGCAACCTAAATCATTCTTTAAAATAATCAAAGCAAGCTTTAAAATGCTAAATAAAATCCTTGCAAAAATATTTTGAATTTGGTACGAATTTGTAAATTGAGATTTATAGTAATATAAAGCAAACTTATATAAAAATTATCCTTGAAAATCAAGTGAACTATGTATTGTTTGACTTGTTTTTTTAAAGAAAAAATGTGTTTAAATAAGATATTTATTACGATTTTTCTAAGTGGAAACATTATTTTAAAACCCCCATTATATTTTTCTTATCATATTTAATAATAAATTAAATGCATTTGATAATATTTTGGATTTGTTTTATATTTAGAAATTGGGATTTCATTCAATTAATATTTCAGATTCATTTATAGTTTTAATTACTTTTTCTTAATTTTCTGTTGGACTTTAGCAGGGTTGCCAAAAAATGCCAAAAGTGGTGACTACTGAAATTTAAAATCCTATTAAAAGATATCACATCTAGCAACGTCTTATAGCATTTTTTCCCCCAGTTTAATATTACTAGTGAATGCAACGAATGTTTTTGCCTTAAATGTACATAATAGTAAATGTAGGTCCTAGTGGTAATTACGATTGACTAATTAAAGATAAACAAATAAAATAGAACTGAGTTTCCACCACTGTTTATAGTTTTAGCAGTCTGTGGCATTCCTGCTTTAGGACCGTTTAAATCAAACTAGCTACGAATTATTTAGATATTTTCCTTTAATTGAAGGAAAACATTCCGAAAATTGAAACTTATATTATTTTCGTTAATTTAAGTTTTTTCTTTTTTTGCCTTGATATCCCCTCTTAAAATACATGTTAAAAATCAAATAAATAACAATAGTGCAGAAAAAGAAATACGAATTAATTTAAAAGGAATTAATCATTTTTATTTAGGAATATAAGTAACAAAACGAATATACTCCCATATTTATTTTAGTCAAAATTATATAGCTATTAATTCTAAATTAATAAAATTGAACAAAAGATCGAAGTCTTAGTAGCATTAAGGCAAAGCAATAATAAATTAAACTCCAGTCGTAATTTTGTTTTTGTTTTAACAATCGAACCTTTCACGTACTCATAATTTCCCCCTTCATTAAATAAAATACCAACTCATAAGTACCTCCAATATTTCCCCAAAAATCATTCTCCATTTCCAGAAGCCATCATTTCCACCCATCAACTCAAATAGTCACTTACAAACAAAGAAGTTTTTGAAAAATCAAACATTACTTCACTTCAATTCGGAATCCAGTTTTCTGCTAATCGTTTCGCGTAAGGCCATCTCTCTAGCAGCAAGGCAACTCAATTCTTCTGGCAAACACATCAAGAAAATATTTCTCTCTCTCGTTTTCCCTAATTAATGCTTGGTAAAGAGCGTTCCTACTGGAATCTTTGATAAATAGCGGGGGTGTTATTAGAAAAGGAAGCCCGAGAAATTCCAGAAATGGAGCAACAGACTGGATGATAACTTAAGACCAGAGCGAATTCTCTTAATAGTCGGACGTGGTGATTAGTCAGTGCTTAAATGGGAGGGAGGGGGCACAAGGGGGGGCTCACAGTTGAAATGAGCAATGCGACAAGTGCCTAGTACACATGGCTAACCCCATTTGTCATCTAAGTGTGAGACTCGAAATCTTTATTAATAATGAGAGAAAGTGCTTTTCAAATTAGATAAAGAGTGGTACTTGAAATAAAATGGACATTGACAATTTAACGAAGGTGGAAATGGTTTGTTAAACTGCTTGGGAAGTTTAGCTGTCAGTTTGCTTGTTTTACTTTATTGGTTTGACAGCTTCGAGATTTCCTTTTTACGTTTCTATTTGCATTCTAAATGCGCATCTCAAATTATTATTTTCACTTTTTATTTCAAAGATTTTTATTTAAGTAGGAAATTGTCTTATGGTATTTTGTATTATTGTTTGACGTTTTATGTTCTTATAACGTTGTGTGCTTCTTGTAACGATCTATAGCTGTGTTTGATGGTCTATAATGTTGCGTTGACGAATCATCGTATGATGTTCTAATATTGTGTGATGAATTTAGTATTGTATTGTTCTAGTATTGTGTGATCATGAGGCTCTATAACATTGTGTGATGTATCATACCATGATCCTTTATAATATTACGTGATGAATCATCTCATTCTCTATTACAGTGTAAGATGAATTATCTCATGTTCTAGTATTGTGTGATGAATCTAGTATTGCATTGTTCTAGTATTGTGTGATCATGAGGCTCTATAACATTGCGTGATGTATCATACCACGATATATCATACCATGATGCTTTATAATATTACGTGAAGAATCATCTCATCATTTTCTATTACATTGTACGAGGAATTGTTTCATGATTTTCTAGTATTGTGTGATGAATCATCTCATAATGTTCTAAAATATTGCCAGTATGAGTGAGTTTGATATTGCGCAGAGTAAAGTACGATAGTTGCGATAGAATTTTTAATTTAGTTAGTTACAAGCACAGAAGTTCAAATTCACGAAGGTAAAATTTTGAAAATCCTTCTAATCTTCCTACCAAAACAAATTTTCTTGAAAATCAAATTAATTTCGGGTAATAAGATAAATAAATCTCTTTTTCATGAATCAATCTCAAAACCAAAAATATTTCAATGTAGCATTACTGGAAAAACATGACCTATAAAGTGTTAACTTATATGCCTTCAAAGCAAGTCAGGAAGTAAAGTTAAAGACAAAATGCTTTTAGTTACTTTGTATCTAGTAAAATCTTAATTATATATTAAGCGAGTTTATTTTCAATATTTTGAATCTGCGTCATTTAAATAAAAACGCAAATTCTTATAACATTGAGATGTTAAAAAATTATAATTGCGCTCTCAAACTCTATAAAATAATATATTATTCTATGAAATACAATATTTTTGAATAAATAGAAAATATTTCTCCAGCATCAAATCATGTGATAACTACATGTAAGAGTCTTGTTGCGAGCTGGATGTCCTAATGCGCACCAACATTACGAACGTCCAATAACAAGCCAATCACGCCACTGCATCAGAATAAAGAATCATTTTTCACTGAATTTGATCGAAGATTCTCTCTTTTTTTATTTTAAATGAAAAAAAGTCCAAAGAGTATGTTTGCGCAAAGAAGACAGGCCGAATGATGGATGCTTCTTTTTGTTAGGGGGGAGTTCGGGGGGTTCCAAAGAGATAGAAAAGGATGGATAAAAAGAAAGGTATATACAAACCTTGCATTTTGTGTTCTGCTTCCGCTCTGGCGTTCCGTTCCAGCTCCTGAGCAAGGGATTCTAAAACAGATGAAGATGACGGTCAGTTCTCGCACGCTCTTGCAAACAAGCAGTGCATCAAGTTTCAAACAGTGCTGCCATTGTTAAAAGCAGGCAAAAAAATGGAAAACTTAATTAAGAAATCAATGGGATACTTTTAGATGAAACACGCAAAAGATCCCAATGTCAGCATTTAGAGCTTACAAGACTCAAATTTAGAAGGGAAAAAAAATGTGATGTATGTTAATATAGCTTCCATATCAAGATTTTAGACCGCTTTTGTTCCATAACAATAATTCTTAAATTGTTCCTCTAAAAATTAAGTTTTAATTTACCTGCTTAGATGTGTGTGCAAAGGTTTTGATTCTATGGGAAAATACGATGGTAATATTTGAGAATGTTTGATGGTTAAAAAATCATAAACAATATAATAAAAATAGAGAAATATTGTGCTTATGCAAATTTGAAAACACTTGGCTTGCTGGATACCAAGATTGCATTAGACTTTTACTATGGAGACTTGTTACGAACATAATTTTATCTTGTCTTAAAAATTTCTGGAGACTTTATCTGTCGAAATATTTAAGAAGTTCTTGAAAAATCGCAAATAAGGCTTTTGGAATTTAAGTTTTTATCGTCCAAGGAAACTTCCAATAATAATAATAATAAAATTAGGCATGTTACCATATAACAAGAATGATTTTAAAATTTAGTTTTTTTAAGAATCCATCAGTATAAACGAAGCATTTTCATATTAATAGTGAAATTACTGAGATAATATCAATGTATATAATCAATTTTAAAAGAATTTCCTTTAAAAATTTATCATTTTGTAAAAATTAACCAGGGTTTTCAATTTCAATACATGTTAGGACAAAACTTGTATTAATAATAAAAATAAAAAAATCTTTAATTCTAAAATCTGTCATAATAATCTTTCAAACTTATATAAAAGCTTTGTTCCTTAACTTTAAGAACTAATAACCACTTTTATAAATTCAAATTTTTGAAATCCTTTAAAAATCCAATTGAAACATTAATTTCCAAAAATTAAAGATACTAATAAAAATATTTAAATAGCTATAATATTTAAATTTGTAAAATAATATTTATTATAATATTTAAATTAGTTTAATTAGTAAAATATCGGGTTTTATAAATGTTAAAACACGCCTTGGAAAAGGCTGTATTTGTAAGCAAAAATGCTTCAAACATTTTTAAAATTATTTAAAAATTAAAATTATTATTCGTATTGTTACTAATTTAAATAAGCAAGTTACATATGACTTTAAAAACAACATCTCAGGATTTTAAAATCTCAAATTCTCTCAAAAAGAAATCCCTACCAGCGATAGTTTACAAGTCACATAAATCAAACAATAATTCCTAAAAAAGGAAGAAGAAAAAAAAACAGCAAATAAAACATCTTCAAGAGTTATATTCCCAAATTAAATTTCCCTTTGAATGCAGCCAAATGATAATTGATGCTTTTCTAATACTCGCCAAGCTCACAAAATATTTCTCCCACATTTATTTACCCAGAGTTGTGCATTCGAGTGTAAAAATTAAATAAAAGAGATTTTCATACACTTACGCACTACACACACAAAAAAACAAATAAATAAAACAACATTCTTGCAGAAATAAAAGATTAATGTTGCAAATTTCTAGCCCCATTATTTAACGATTTCGAAGTTAAAAGGGTGAGGATTTTTCCATTTTTTTATGTCTTTGTAGTTTTATTTCTGCTTCTTTTTATTTATTTTTTTGCCTTCATAGTTGCCAAAAGAGGAAAGCCATTAGCAGAGGCCTTATAAGAAAATTAAATTTTCCAATTAGGTATGAAGAATTGATTTGGTATGCAGATCTTAACTTTAAGGTCCCTGTTCCCCACATAAACCACTTCTTCATGGTTATGCGGAATGCCATCGTCCTTTTAAGACATCCAGCAAACGGCGACTAAATTAAAGAGTCCGTGGCGACCACTTTGGCTTTGGGGCGCAATAATCAAATGCGATTTGGCAAATACTTGATCTCTTTAGGAATATTTATTGTCAATAAACTTTTTTTATGCATTTGGCTCGAATGTATTTTTTATGCATTTGGCTCGAATGCATTTTTTATGCATATAGTCTATATTGGAAGGAAATTATAAAGTATATTTTTTGTAGTCTATTTTAAGTATCATTAAGTAGTTTATTTAATTAAAAGATATTTTTCTAAATTGCAACATAATCATTATATTCATCTATTAATAGTTCTGATTATTTTTATAACTTGCATATTACATACCTTCACTTATCTTGATTATTTCATTTCTTATCCATTTTAATAAATTAATGTTATCATATTGAAAATGTTTATGGACTTTAACTAATAGTTTTTACATGAGATAAAATCCATTTTGCATTTTTCTTTACACTTTATATTATTTATTTCCAGTAAAATGAAATGCAATATATGAAAAATGCTCGATGAGTAAATAGTTTTTGGATTGTTAAATTACATATTAAATTACATTCAACACTAAGTTTTCGGCATATTTTCTCTTAAAAGAGGCTATCAAAATTCGCATTTAGTTGTTTCGAAATATTTCATTTAATATCTTTTGTTTCATTTACCAATTGGATTTATTTCAATTTTATATTGCTATTATTTTTATTTAATTTCACATTAGATTTGTTTTAATTTTATCCATATTTTAAATTTAGTTTTCCTTTTCTTATATTTATTCTAAGTCATAATTGGATCTTATTAGTTTCATTAATAAGTTAATTTTTTTAGTTAATGAAACAGTGAAAAGTATTATTAGTTAAAGTATTAATTGTTTTCTGGTCAAAATATTTGATATTTTTTATTGGCATACTGTTTTAAAATGTATATTTATTGTGAATGTTTGTCTATATATAATTAATGTATGTAATATTTAATTAATGATTACTAATTGCTTTATTTATAAACTTAATGAATTGTAATTTATTACTTTTTTTTATCAACTTCATAATTTCAGTAGCCTTAGCAAGTATACTCTGTCCTTTTAAATTTATACCCTGATAATAAGTGTATCATTGTTCTTTATTTAAATGTAATAGCTTCATTTTATGTTTAACTATCATTGTTTTAGATTTAAAAATACATTTTTTTATATTTTTTCTAATTGTTTTATTATTTTTATATTTATTTAGTTTTCTCGGTACTTTTCGGTTAGCCGGGCAAAAGGAAATGCAACAATTTTTTTAAAATTATTTTATTATTTTTTTATTCAATTTTTTTTTAATTTTTCGTTGTTTAAAAACAAATAAAATAAAACTAAATTTACAAAAAAGATTCCAGAGGACTACATTTTTGGCGACTTTTCGCTTGTTGCCCAGCTACCCGAAAATCACAGAATTCTTTTATTATTTTGATCCTTTTTTAGAATTCTTTTATTATTTTTATATTAATTCAGAATTCTTTAGCTACTTTTATATTTATTTAGAATTCTCACATTATTTTTAGATTTATTTAGAATTTTTTTATATTTTTTTGATATGTATTTAGAATCGTTTTATTGTTTGCAAATTTATTTAGAAATGTTTCACTGTTTACATATCATTCGCAATTGATATAGTATTTATTTTTTTACATTAAGACTTGTTTTATTGTTTACATATTTTTTAAACTAAATTATATAATCGTTTCTAAATTCTGTATGAATCGATTAATTTATAAACGCAAACTATTTTAATTTATTTATAAATTTTCATCATTTGTAGCCAGCAAATCAGTAGCAAAATATTCAGCACTTTAACAACAATCCCTTTCTCTTAGTATCGGGGGCCATTTCAAGTGAGTGGGGAATTCTCAGACGAAATCTAGAAGCATTAATAAACACGAATTCGTAAACGAGAGCGACTCTCAATATAGGGGGGAGAACGAGATTTGTGGAGGGTGGAAAAGTCTTATGGAATAATGAGATCAACTTCACAGAATGCAGAAACAATGGCTTCCAAATCTCCCAATTCGCTCCGAAAACTGAAATAACTCCCTGGAGACAAGTGGTGGAGGACAGGTTGCTGACGATTAATATCATTTATTTGGAACTTCATCGTCAATTCGTAAAAGCAGTGAATCTTCCGCATTTGAATTAAGATTGTAACTCAATATTCTTTCTTTGAGTGGATTATTTATGAACTTGGTTATTAAATTGCCATTCTAATGCGTTCGTAAAGCCGTTAAGACGTTGAGAAAATTTTTTTCGTTATGTTTTATGCATTTTTATTTGTTTCGATTAATGCAGTGTTCCTCAACTGATTTGCTCTTCTTTTGCATAAGTGTGTATTCCTGGGAGTCATAATTCATTTTTTATGTAAAAGACAGCATTGAGAATGTGAAAATGTGTAATAAATCATGGGTCGGAAAAACTTTATTTTGCTTGCTTTCTATTAAATTACTCTTTTAGCTGAGTTTCTTTCTGTAATGCCTCGTGCTGTATTAAGATTTTACTAAATATTTTTAAATTCCGGTTTTAAGCTTTTGGCACTTTAACGTTATTAATTTTAGTCTTTGTTTCAAAAATGACTTACAGCTATTTAATACTTGCATACTTGCAGAGTTTATTGAAAATGTCAAAACTTAAAATGAAAAACTTAAAATTGTCACTATCTAGTTTAGTACAAGAAGATCACTTTTGAAGAAGATAACTTTTTTTTTTTTAATAATAGTTCATAATGTTTGAAAAAGTGCATTGAAGGAAGATAATTTCTAATTGTACAATTAAAATTTTTACAATAATAACTTAGTTATTAAAGTTTGTAACAAAAAATATTTTTTACAGAATTCTGTAATATTGGCAACGCTTATTGGCAACGTAGCCTAAATTTTTAATAAAGTTTTAATTATTCTAGTGCAAGAGTTAATATTATTCTTATACGATCATTTTTTATGACAATGACGTTTAAATATTTCTTAAGCTTGCATTTTACCTTATGACTAATGTTATAATATATTCTGAATTTAATTTTTTTATAAAAAATTATGATATTGGCAAAGCTTATTGACAATGTAGCCTAAAATTCAAATGCTGTTTTAACTAATTTATTGTAAGACGTTAATTTTCTTTTTATACAATAAATTTCTTATGATAATAACAAATGAGTTATTTTTAAGACTGAATTTTAATTTATGGCTAATATTAATTCATTTTGATATAACCTATTCAATTAATGTTATTATTATACGATATATATTTAATTTTACTTGTATTGAGTTGGTTAATAAAATAAGAAATTTTAGAATACGCTATATTCAAATAACATATTTGTTTGAAGTTAATTTATAATTATAACAACAAATTTTTATATACTTAACACAAATTATTGTGATAATTATTTATTTAAATAGTATAGATTAGAATAATATTTTAAAGTATTTCATTGTTTCATCAAAAATAAACTTATTGGTATATTATACTATAACTATCTAAAGAATTAAATTTTTAACTTATATATTCTTTCACAAAATTACAAAATGATTTTAAAGTCTTATTCAAAAATTAATTTTAAACTTCTGAAATGATGATGTTGTTATAAGTGATAAATAATAGAGGCTTTTACTCAATCGAAGCAATTAAATATTTATTAGACAAGATTAAATATTTAATTTTGTTTAATATTCCATTTTTAAATATTTCGGAGAGAAAAAAAGTGAAAGATTATTTTGCAAAAAAATTTTGCAAAAAAATTTGTAAGAAATAACATTTTATCGACAATAACTCTACAATAATTTAGCAGAAATTCGACTGAATAAAATTTCTTTTTAAAACGCAGACAGTTGCCAAAAAAATTAAAGCTAATCAAAATCAAGAAAGTATCCCATATGAAAAAATTTTCCCCAGAATATCATATGATCAATTTTCGCAAAATATATTTGCAAATATTATTTTGCAATAATATATATGTATAAAAATGCAGTAAAAAAAATATTTTTTGAATGTCAGAACCGTTAAAGCTTTTAGTAAAATAAAAATTGGAATAAAGTAAAACCATAAAAAAACCAAACGATGCAATAAATTTTTATGAATAATAAAAGCAACTTTAACCATATTCAGAAGTATGAAAGACTAAAATTTTATATGCGTTTGTCTTGTATAGTGACTTAACATTAGTTATACAAACGAAATTCGATTTGTTTGAGTGGTTGCTATTAGCTATTCAACTTTCGAGACAACGCATCAAGCAAACAAAAAATGGCTAAGATCTGCATCTGAGGGAATAAATCTAATTTCAAAGTTGCTATCAATCTTCATTTAGAAAGACGAAATAGTTATCGCAAGAGACGGCAGAAAAGAAACTTTAAAAACCGTTTTCAGATGCATATGCATTATCTATAGGTTCGTAAATGAAAAATATAAAACGCTTGTTAAAGGTTCACGATTTTTTTCGATCCACCTGAAAATGGAGAGAATGTATTTTTTTGTTCGAAATCGGAGTTCTAATGGCTAAAACGAAGACAACGAGATATTATGGAAATCGTTTTCCTGGAAATTCATGCATTTGTAAAATGTTTCGAACAAAATAGGGTGGGTGGGATGAAGATCAGGTGGGGCTTTGAGTAAAGCACTCGCAAATTTTTTCAAAAAGTGGTCCATTTGTAAACGAAGAATAGCTTGGCTCATAACGTTGAAATTGAATTGGTCTACTTTGGCGACTTATCGCCAGGAAAAACTAAAACAGAAGATTTATTTCATGAATTACAAAATAGGATTATAAATTAAATAAAATTGTATTAGGAAAAGGATAAAATTAAAAATTAATTCGTATTATTTTATTCTAAATAAATTAAACTCAGGTAAATAAAAAAAAAGAATTTCTTTTTGTTGCTAAATGTAATTTATTTAAAATTTATTTTTTTAATTAAGATATATTTTAATTTACACATTAATTAATAATTGTTCCTCATTTATTTGTTTATTGAATCTTTAATACTTGAAAAAATATTGTTTTTAAAAATATTGTTAAAGTAAAATAAATTTAAATATATTTTATTCAAATATATTTTATTTAAATATATTTTATTCAAATATATATTTTTTTAAATACATTTAACTTAAATATTTTTGTCGGCATAATTCGGTCAAATATTTTAATTTTTTTTAATATATAACAGAAAAACAATTATGTATTGTGTAGAATACATTGTATTCTGTTGAAGTTTTCAGAATTTGCTTTTCTTGAAGAATTCTCTTCTTAAATATTGAAACCAAATTAATTGAACAAAATGCAAAATTTTTAGATGGGATAATTTTAAAATTTGATAAATAAGGTCTGTTTTAAATATGAATTTAGAGTTGGAAAATATTATTTATTTTTTGCTTCTGATAATATTTATTTTTTAAATCTAAAGCCATCTGAATAAAAACTCCTGAAAAGTTTCAAGAATACGTTTTTTTTAATAGATTATTAATTATTTCATTTTATCTATTCAATTATTATTTTTCTATTCAATATATTTAAACTAAATTTTTATTTTTAAATTAAAAAAAAAAGGAACGTTATATTTTTACCCATGAGAAAATTTTTTAAACATTCTAAAGGAAATTGAATTTTATCTTTCTTTTGGTCATTGGTAATCAAATATATTTGGCGCTTTGGCGACATCGAATTTTTCGCTCTATAGCAACCCAACACTTCATCTGCATCTTTTTCAGTTTGTACTGACGTATTTTGAGCCTTGTTTTCCGTAGCAATAACTATGCTATCATTACTTTATATCTCTCCGTTGTGCCACTTTCTAAAAGCTTCTATGGGAGGAAAGACTGCTTACCTTCGAATTTTTTTTTCGAACGTTACTCAGCAGCACTTCCCCTCTTTCCATGTCCACATTAACAATTTAATGCCTGTAAGACTCGCGCCAACTGCGGTGTAACTCTTTAATGCAAAAAGCAGACGAGGAAAAAAAGATACTCTATAACCCCTTCCTACTGATCTATAATACGAAGTGTATATTTCATCTTGCTCTCAATTTCGATTGGATACGTAACAGGTTTTGAGAACATTTTTACGGCATCCATGAAATTTTAAATACGTGCATTGGCGCCCATTCGATTACTCGCCAATGTGCATGTCAGTTGGTGAAATATCACATGTATATTTTGCAAGACTTGCAAATTGACTGTGCATTGCTATTTTCCCCCAGCGGTATTAAGGAAGTATAATTCATGCTTTCTGTGTTTAGTAGGGACAATAAATCTGAATTGATGCCAATGCATCAAATACTGAATACTTCGGCAAATAAATGTTTTAGAATTTTATTATCTATTTTTGCACATAAAAGCATACTGGAATGATATGTGTGTAGAAAAATATTTCTTAACTTGGTCATTTTTGCTGTCTGAATTTGGTAAGGTTTTGAAAAAAAATCAAATGATTTTTTCCCCCTCATTTGTAAAAACAATTACTATTCGAGAAGAAGTGAAGTCAATATGTTCAATCACGTGATTTAATTCGGATTTAATTAGATACTTATAAACGACGTCATGCGTGCTTGTCAAACCTGATTGGCATCTGAATTGACAAATTCTATGATTTAACATGTAGATATCAAACTGTATCTAACTTTTCTATATTTTTATAAAAGCATTTGAGAAATGAGATTAAAAATATTATGGGCATAGATTTTTTTCCTCTTCAGACAAGGTCATTTTTCAAACTTGCAGCTTTAACTTTTCACCTGTTTTGATTTTAAAAACATTTACCAGTGCTCAAAACTTTCTCTCTACTTACTCAAATATTTACCTTGTTGTCGTAGGCCATTAAGGCAAGGATTGCGATTGTTCTTGTTTTCCAGTGGCTCCATCTACGGCTCCAAGAGCTCGACTTCTGCCACACCCATGCGTCACACCCTTTCATAGGGAAGACCCATTCATACATCCACTCATTAATCCACAGATCGTAATTTTGACCTGAACCAGAGAACGAACAATCTCCAATTGAGTAGCCCCATAGATATGATTTGTTATAGGAACATGGATGAGTTTGTGACGCGACAGATTTAACATGCACTAGTCACCTTTTATTACACGGAGAATCTTCGGTCGGCTGGATTCGAACCCCCGTTCTCACGAACTTGAGTCCAGCACCCTGCCAACCAGGCTATCCTGCCTCTAATATTTACAATAACGTGTTGGAGAAGAGCCAACCGGCCTGTGTATAGGGGCAGGGAACTGTCCTTGCAACAGAAAGGTCCTGGGTTCTAATCCCGGGCAAGGCATGGATGTTTCTTTCTCTCTGTGTGTGTTCTATGTCCTTTCTTATTTGTGTGTGAATGTGACCCGCCCTATAAACGGGTTGTGGTTGTGTGAATGGCGTGACAGAGGTCAAATTCCTGGCCATAGATGGCGCCACCACTGCCTAAACAGGCATACAACAAACAAAACAAAACAAACAAAAAAACTTTTGGAGTAAAAATATCAGTAGAATTTAAAATTTAATAAAATTTTATTATTTATTAAAATTTATAATTTAATAAATCTGTAAAATTTAATAAAATGTTATTATAGTAACATTTTGACAGTTGAAAAGTAATGTTTCAATGTGTCTGGTAACCGAGCACATAATGTAGGTGCAGATGTTATTTTATAATAGTACATAAATAAAACTAAATAGTACCGTTCAGTAGACGAAGCGTTTCCGCAGAGTTACTTCTTAGTGCTTCTTCGTATTGTGCTCGCTTTTTGACTTCTGCTTCAAGTTGCTCTTGAACCCTCCTTCGAGTTCGTTTTTCCTTTTTCAATCGTTTTTGATATAAAACTGGAAAGAAAAAAAGAAAAAGAAATGGTTAGTAAAATAACTCCACACTGGACTTATAATCTGTAAAAAATGCTACCAAATGAAAACGTAATAAAATGTATGAACTATTTAAAAACAAGTAGACAGCGTGTAACCACTTGAAAAATATTAATAATACTTATGATTTTAATGCTGATATTATTGTGATTTGAAATAGTCAAATATTTCTTACAAAAAGAGTGTATATAATAAATATCCATATTTATTTATTGCAAAGAATAAATAGGACAATATATGAGCAAATCAAAGAATACGAATAATAGTTTGGAAAAATTAAAAAGCTTATATATCTTCAATTCGCATCATGGTAGATGACGTCATACACAAATTCCACAAATTATTTGAAATTGTTGCTAACATAGAATGCGCACTGGTCAGTAATCAAAAACTGGTACGTATATATTTCATACGTACCGTACAGATGACGACCACATCTGTCTATATTTTTCAACACAAATGATATCTATATACAAGTTGTAAATGTTATGAACCTGAAGATAGCATTAGCCTTCAATTAATTACTAGTGAGGTGTTGATATTATAAAGTCGTGAAATCATGTAAGACTTAAGAAACGTATCAGGCTTTTTTCAAAGATTTTTATAGACTGCGATGAGCAATTAAGTCAACCCTATATTATCAGTTTTACGAAGATCTCCAAAATGAAGAAAAATGTCTCCAAAAAATCACGAAGCTAGGTTAGATATTTTCGGATTGATACTTCAGAATTTTACTGTGGATCAAACAGCACTCTTTATTCGACTGTCTTACAACTATACATCTTCTCAAAATTTAATGAAATAATTGGTTAAAATTAATTATCTCTTCACAAAAAGGAAAATTTTTAAACTTAAATATTTTGTTGAAATACCCCAAAAACATTGTTCCATTTGAGAATCTGTTAAACTTTGAAGAAAAACGAACAATTTTAGCTAAAAATTATGCAACATTGATTATTCAAAATTCTGATTTCGCTTTCTACCTGATTTCAACCAAAACAGACGATTCTCCAAAAATTTTCTCGTTAATAATATAAATAAAAATTAATCTTAAAATCAGACGATAATAAAAAAAGATGTCTTCAAATCGAAATCTTTCAAACGACTTAAAAACGAACAATTTTAACTTAAAAAGTATGCTATACCAAGCATTGATTATTCAAAATTCTGATTTCGCTTTCTACCTAATTTCAACCAAAACTGACGATTCTCCAAAAATTTTCCCATTAATAACATAAATAAAAATTAATCTTAAAATCAGACGATAAAAAAAAAATGTCTTCAAATCGAAATCTTTCAAACGACTTCTTCTATTTTACATTTTTATTCATATCTTAGAATACAATGCTCGCTTTTGACTGCTATATCACTTTTATTTCCGCATTGTCCCATTCCTGTTTCATGCACCATCAGAAAACTCAGCCTATTTTACTTCACTTCAATAATATTGCATTCAATTTTTTTATTCGTTGGCAGGTCCGATGATATAACGGGCTTCTCTCTTGCTTTTCTATGAAACTAGTAGAAGAAAACCAAACACACCAAGAGAGCGACCCCCCATTCATCAATGTCACATTGAGTCAGGGGGCCACCTACACCCCCCACGATGACATCTGCCAGCTCCCCCCCCCCGCCTCTCCTGTCCAATGCGCTTTTTTTTTTCCAACACTCCTACGCCATGTGCCAGTTTCTCATAAGCTTTACATGGTATGAATTCTGCTGCTTTACCTTTATCTGGTCTAAAGGAAAAAATATAAGATATAACTTCCAAAAAATAAAAGTTTTAGCAGATAGAACTTTGGGGTAGGAGGTATGTGGTCCATATCAGGTAGTTCCAGAAGCTTCTATTCGAATTTTTCTTTTATCGTTCCCTTTTTTTCAGGTTTATCCGTTTGTGTAAGCATTGAGATTTTTTTTTCTTCCGTTTACTAAATGAATGATTCAAATATGGATCAAAGAAGAAATATAAAGCCTTTTTTTTATCTTTAAAAATTTTTTTTCTGCGTCCTTTCCTTTAAGGGAAAAACAGGTGCTTTTGAAATATTTTTTTTAAGAGTGAACTTTAAAAAATACTGTAATATTAAATCATATTTGAATGTTGTTGTACTTAAATAGATTATTGCATTTTTCATTTTTTTTTTTTCAGTTTTGCTGTATTATTTATGAAGTGTGTATTAAAAGTCTTCTTGATGCAGTTCGAAATATTTTTTAAAACTATAAAAATAGGTGCTTCTAATTTTTAGTGCTTCTAATTTTTAACGTAGCGAAAAATATTGTGTTTTTAATTTCAATTTTTATTTATTTTGAATGAAAATATTATTCAAAAAAAATTCTACCATATTTTTCTTCATTGGCATTTAGAAAATTCATAAAAATTTCGAAAATGAAAACTGTATGTCCTTTTTGCTTATTTTTTTAGGCAGATAAGTTCCCAAAATCTATATTTTTTAAAATGTTTTGAAAGGAAATTGAAGAAAAATATCTTATATATATATACTACAAATATCATATAACTTTCTTTTATACTAATTAAGCTACAAAATTTTATAAACTTGATTAAAAAAATATGGTAAAACTGATGCCGGAGGGAAAAATAATCGTTTAATGCACAAATTAAAATTTAAAAAGATCATTTTTTTAAGTAATAAACTTTTCAGGATATTATGTTTCTAAACCTTATTAATCAATTTATGGGACATGGAAAATTTCAAAAATCAGCGAAAAAAATGGTGAAAAAACTCGAAAAATAGTATTAAAATATAATAGAATACTGAAATGGATTGCTATTTTAATTAAAATTCTACAAACTGAAACTCCAAATTAATCAAATATTGAATATTAAAATACAATAAAAGGCAAAATGATATAAATTCATTTCATAAACTATACAACATTTATGCACGTATAGTATTGAAAGAATATATTCTGCTAATAATTTGAATGTTAAAGCATTCAATTTCCTTTAATTAGTTAGTAAATAGTAAGAGAAATCGTTTGAACGACTTCGATTTGAAGATATCTTTCTTTATTATCGTCTGATTATAACATTAATTTTTTTAATTATTTTTATTAATGGGAACATTTTAGAGAACCTTCATTTCTGGTAGAAATATAAAAACGTTTTTGAAACTTATTAGTAACATTACGACGAAAATAGAAGAAAATAATAATTTTAGATCTCACATATTAAAGAGAATTATTGTTAACAATATAAAGAAGCTGAGGGTAATATATGGCTTTATCGATTTCCACATTTCAGAATAGCATTTTTATTATTATTAAAATAATAATAATAATAATAAATGGTATTTTTTAAAGAAAATAAGATGTTTCTGACTATTCTACAGTAATCGGGCCAAATCTTTCGCAACATATAAAGTACCTATCTAGAAATTACTAAGCTACAGTTTGATACAAAACGTAACCTTTGGAAAAGTGTGGCTTACCACTATATCTCCCTAAGCTCTTTTTATAAATATGCATATAAATCCTTGTCTTAATGTAGCCAAACATAATAAAATTCAAACTGGAAAGANAGTAAATTTTATAAATATTTGACTATTTTTGCTTGTTTTTTAAACGATATAGCATGACATAACTGCTATAAAGTGGTAAATTATATAACCCTACGAATTATTTAGAAATAGTGGTGGAAAAAATCTACTAAATTGAATTTATTAAGCCAAGAATCATAATTGATAAACTACCACTTTAAAATATTTATTTGCTGTCAGGAGCAAGTTGGCATCTCTGTAATAAATGGTATTTTTAAAGAAAATAAGATGTTTCTGACTATTCTACAGTTATCGAGCCAAATCTTTCGCAACATATAAAGTACCTATCCAGAAATTAATAACGTACAGTTTGATATAAAACGTAAACTTTGAAAAAGTGTGGCTTACCACTATATCGTCCTAAGCGCTTTTTATAAATATGGATAGAAATATTTCTCTTAATGTAGCCAAACATAATAAAATTCACTCACAAATCATATGTCACTAATTGTGTTTAAAAAAATTAATAATTGCATTATATGCGTAAACAAATCTACTATAATAATTTTTAGCTATGACAAGAACATGGCACGAATGTGACTGTCACTTGAACAGGAGGCACAAGGGTTGATTGATTAATTTTTAGACAAATTTAAAAATTCATTTTTAACTCTTTTTCACGTGGAAAAGGCACCTCTAATGATTCTTTTGTGGTTGTAAATTTTTCCACCCAACGCCAAAACAACCCGACCTAGAATAGAATTATAACTCCATTCTTCATGTCTGACGATTTTTTCTTCAATTTTTTTCTAAACGCAATACGTGCATGGAACATTTTTTTCTACATATTCTATCCTTTCTCTTGCGGGTGAAAATGATGAATTAAATAAATAAAAACGTTCCACGTACACCCCTTTGCAGCCCTTGCACACCCCTTTGGTGCCTCTCTACATTCATTCGAAAGGGGTGGGTAATTTTGTTAAATTTCTTCTACAATAGATTTTACTTTTTTTTTTTCCAGGACTAAATCTTTTTGCCAAGTGAATTTTGGGGCTGACTGGGTCAACCCTGACTAAGCAAATAACTCAATACCCCGAGGAATGGGAGGAGATTTCTTTCAGTTTGGAGAACTGATGCACACGGTGCTTCATTTGGACATCTGTGGGATTTTAACATCTATAATCTTTCATATTCGTGGTACAAATTCAACATAAAGGGGGAAAAAAAGACATTCTCGTTTGCATTTGACAAGTTTTGAAAAATGAGATTTTTAAATGAAATAAACTCTGATTAGCAAATATCAATTTGCACGATTCGAATTTTCTTGTTCGTATCTTGGACATAAAATTTTGAAGTACAGTTAATAAGATTTGCAGTTAGTAAATGCATATTCACGATATAAATTCAAGATAGGAAGAAAAAAAAGATATTCGCGAATTAAAATGCTGTTCGTAAATACTTATTCGTAGT